AGTACATGAGATCAGTTCACAGTAGCTGAAGTGTGAGTGTCTACAAGAACTATCCAGTGCACCATAATGAACTTTGAATAGTGCAAGGTCATTGAAGGTGAGTATGACAATGGTTGGCTCAATAATAGCGAAAACAGCAATAAGCAAATAAAAAAAGTGGTGGCAATTCATTCTCTGTTGCTGCATCAGTTATATATTAATGATCACACTAACTTTATCAGAAAAAAGTTGGCACTGAGACTCCTGTAAAGATTTAAGGCCAGGTAACAGAAGTTTTGAAAAAAGGAGTAGATTTTTAATAGTATCTTAAACGGAAAACAGAGAGACAGAGATTTAAGAAGGGAATTCCAGCACTTAGAGCCTAGCCAGCTGAAAGCAGCCACCAATGTTTGGAGATAACACGGTGTGGAGCTGGATGAACACAGCAGGCCAGGCAGAATCAGAGGAGCAGGAAAGCTGACGTTTCGGGTCTGGACCCTTCCTCAGAAATGAGGGACGGAAAGGGGACTGTGAAATAAATAGAGAGAGGGGGGAGGCGATGATAGAAGGTGGATAAAAGAGCAGATAGGTGGAGAGAAGACAGACAGGTTAAGGAGGCAGGGATGGAGCCAGTAAAGGTGAGTGCAGGTGGGGAGTTAGGATGGTGGTTGGTCAGTTGAGGGAAGGTGGATAGGTCAAGGAGGCGGGGATGGAGCCAGTAAAGGTGAGTGTAGGTAGGAAGTTGGGATGGGGGTTAGTCAGTTCCCCTCCACAGTAGTCAAAAACGCCCTTAACTGCGTCTCTCGCGTTTCCCGCAACTCATCCCTCACACCCCCACCCCGCAATAACAACAAAGACAGAATCCCCCTCATCCTCACATATCACCCCCCCAACCTCCGGATTCAACGCATCATCCTCCACCACTTCTGCCACCTGCAATCTGACCCTACTATCAAGGACATATTTCCCTCCTCATCCTTATCTGCCTTCCGGAGGGACCACTCTCTCCATGACTCCCTCGCCTGCTCCATACTCCCCACTAGCCCCACCAACCCTGGCACTTTTCCCTGCAACTGCAGGAAGTGCTACACCTGCCCCTACACCTCCTCCCTCACCCCCATCCCAGGCCCCAAGAAGACCTTCCACATTAAACAGATGTTCATCTGCACATCTGCTAATGTGGTATACTGTATCCGCTGTTCCTGATGTGACCTCCTCTACATCGGGGAAACCAAGCGGAGGCTTGGAGACCGCTTTGTGGAACACCTATGCTCGGTTCACAACAAACGACTACACTTCCCAGTCGCGAACCACTTCAACTCCCCCTCCCACTCCTTGGATGACATGTCCATCCTGGGCCTCCTCCAGTGCCACAACGATGCCACCCAAAGACTGCAGGAACAGCACCTCATATTTCGCTTGGGAACCCTGCAGCCCAATAGTCTCAATGTGGACTTCACAAGCTTCAAAATCTCCCCACCCCCCGACCTCATCCCAAAACCAGCCCAGCTCGTCCCCGCCTCCTTGACCTGTCCATCTTTTCTCCCACCTATCCGCTCCTCCCACCTCACTGACCAACCCCCAACCGCACTTCCTACCTATTAGCCTCATTCCCACCTCCTTGACCTGTCCATCTTCCCTCAACTGACCAACCCCCATCCCAACTTCCTACCTACACTCATCTTTACTGGCTCCATCCCTGCCTCCTTAACCTGTCCATCTTCTCTCCACCTATCTGCTCCTTTATCCACCTTCCATCATTGCCTCCCCTCCCTCTCTATTTATTTCAGAGTCCCCTTCCCCTCCCCCATTTCTGAAGAAGGGTCCAGACCCGAAATGTCAGCTTTCCTGCTCCTCTGATGCTGCCTGGCCTGCTGTGTTCCTCCAGCTCCACACCGTGTTATCTCAGATTCTCCAGCATCTGCAGTTCCTACTATCTTACCCATATTTGGAGATGCACAACAGGCCAGGAATAGAAGAACTCCAATATGTCAGAGTTATGGTGCTAGAGGAGATTGCTAAGATTGAGAGGGGCAAGGCCATGAAAGGATTTGGAGACAAGATGAACACTTTAAAAGCAAGGTGTTACTTGACTGGTTGCCACTGTGGATCAGCGAGCACAGGGATGAAGGGTCAACATTGATGTAAGTTAGATTTAGACATGAGCAGCAAAGATTTCCATTGGCAAAACAGTCAGGAATCTTGAAATACATTTGTTGAATAGCAGTAAAATGGTAGTAATGAAACATGGTGAATTGTAAAACTCAACTGTTTCACTAGAAAGAAATTTATCACCTATTACTATACTCAAACTACATCATTAACTTATGTCCAGCAGAAGAATTGGGAATGGGCAGTGATTATAACAGACCCCCAGGCTGTGTGTATATATTAGAGATATGTATAGCAATCAGATATGATGTAGTGTCAACATACGAGGAAGAGCTTATAAAAATATAAACTCTTCAACTTTTAAATGTGGGTTTGTGAAAAATTTTTTAACACTCTTGGGCCAAGGGCATTACTGGCCAGCAAACATATATTGCCCGTCCCTAGTTGCCCTTGAGAAGGTGGTGGTGGGCTGCTTTCTTGGACTGCTGCAGTCCATGTGCTGTAGTTTGACCCAAGATTTTGACCCAGTGATATATTTTCAAGTCAGGAGAGTGATGGGGTTGGAAGGGAACTTGCGGGTTGTGGTGTTCCATGTATCTGCTGCCCCTGTCCTTCTAGGTGGAAGTGGTTGTGGGTTTGGAAGATGCTGTCTAAGGATCTCTGGTGAATTTTTGCAGTGCATCTTGTAGATAATACACACTGCTGCTACTGAGTGTCAGTGGTGGAGGGTTTAGATGTATGTGGATGTGGTGCCAATAAAGTGACCCACTTTGTCCTGGATGGCGTTAAGCTTCTTGAGTGTTGGTACACTCATCCAGACAACATTGCAGTATTTTATGACACTCTTAATTTGAGCCTTGTGATGACGGACAGGCTTTGAGGAGTCAGGAGGTGAGTTACTCATCACAGTATTCTTAGCATCTTGGAGCCCCTATGTCAAGTTTACAGGTGGTAAGTTTCTGGTCAATGGTAAACTTAAGAACATTGATAGTGGGGGATTCAGTAATGGCAACACCATTGAATGTTAGGGGTGGTAGTTATTAGAGGTGGTCATAGCTTGGAATTTGTGTGGCACAAATGTTACTTACCACTTATCAGCCCAAGCCTGGGTATTGTCCAATTAGATCATAGAGATGTACGGTACGGAAACAAACCCTTCGGTCCAACTCGTCTATGCAGACCATATATACTAAATTAATGTAGTCCCATTTGCCAGCATTTGGCCAATATCCCTCTAAACCCCTCCTATCTTGTTCGATTTGGACTTGGGCTGCTTCTGTATCTGAGGAATTGTGAATGGTGATGAACATTGCACAATCATCAGTGATCATCCCCACTTCTGACCTTATGATGGAAGGAAGGTGATTGAAACTGTCAAAGTTAGTTGTGCCAAGGACACTTCCCTGATGAACTCCTGCAGAGATGACTGACCTCCAACAACCACAACCACAACCATCTTCCTGTGTGTCAGGTATGACTCCAAGCAGTAGAGAGTTTTCAGCATGATTCCCGTTGATTCCAGTTTTGATAGAGATACTTGATACCATATTCAGTCAAATGCAGCCTTGACATCAAGGGCTGTCACTCCCACTTCACTTCTGGAATTCCTTTGTCCATGTTTGAACCAAGACTGTAATGAGGTCAGGAGCAGAGTGGCCCTGTCAGAACCCAAACTGAGCATCGCTGAGCAGGTTATAGCCGAGCAGATGCTGCTTGATAGCATGGACAACACTCTCATTCACTTTACCAATGATCAAGAGTAGACTGGTTAGGTGGTAATTGGCTGAGTTGGATTTGGTCTGCTTTTTGTGTGCAAGACATATCTGGGCAATTTCCTACATTGCCTGTTAAAAACCAGTATTGGAATAGCTTGGCTAGGGAAGCAGCAAGTTCTGGAACACAAGTCTTCAACATTATTGCCAGAATACCACTTTTGTAAAAACAGAATTATTGCAGCTTTAAGTACCTTGAAAGATCAGCTACACTGATTGTTGCCAGTTTGTAAAATTTGGATTATATGCTGACTATTTTGACTTCAATGGGTTTTTTTAAACCTTCTGAGTAATCCATGAACGTTGCTAATGTGACTGTTATAAGTAATTGCCTATATGAAGCATTACACATTGCATTGGAACTCCAAGGTCTTGGGTCTCTGACAAACAATTCCCATCTTTGCAAGTTCCTTTTGAAGAGGTTACTGAGCTAGACAGGTTGAAATGTATCCTCTCAATAGGAAGTGGTGTAGTGTCTTGTGGGCTCATGTTGGGTTCTGGGTGTAGAGTGGGGAGAGAGTAATGTCTGGTGGGGATTGGGTTGGGGTCGTGGGAGGTTGAGTTGGGAGCCACAGGTACAGGATGGTGTCAGGCCCATTGGTGGGGAGGGTTGTATAGGATCTGGGTGATGTTAGGGGTCTGCAAAGATGTAGTTGGGTATGTGTGAAGCAAGTTGTGGTGTTGCAGTTAAACAGTCACTTGGGGTTTTGACTAAGAACTATGCCTAACATTTTCTGAATAAAATTTAATTAATTGCAGCAAAACTCTCTGAATTCTCTGATTTAAATTGATACCTGCAGAAGGTTCCAGGTGTAGCAGGATTGACCTGTGGAATCTTCAATTTCCCAGACAATTGCTTTGGAGTCTGCTATGATGAGGATTTGTAGGGTCTCTGTGTGCGCCTCACAGCTGCACTTCAGAAACAATTATCTGGCCATCAGAAAATCTGGGCCCGTACTTTTTCCAGGCTTGTATTGAAATACAAACTACATATTCCTATAAATAGACAGCTCAAAGGTTAGGACTTATCTTTGCTTCAAACAGAAATTAACTTAAAGGGCAATCCAATGTGTGTGGGAGAGAATATAAGAGAGAATGAGACAGAAACTAGTGCTAATCTCTTTAAAGGCAGTGAGAGGACAGAGGCTGGTTCTAAAAGCCTAACTGAAGACATTTAACTAAAGGTAGTTTTCTAAACTTAATTTTTTTTCACCTTTTATCTTAGCAGAATTCACTGCTTTCAGCTTCAACTCAGATTAACTGACAAGATTTTGAGACATTGCAAGCAGGACTTGATTATTGTAAAATTGTGAATTAATTGCTTGAGGAATTATCACAGTTGTGCTTTTCAAAGGTTACTAAGTTTGACAATTGTAAGTTATGGAACAGGACAAGGAAAAAAGTAGAAGTTAGTTTAGTGGGTGTGCACCTAATGTGGCTCAAGATGCTTCAAACAATCTTCTTAATGAACTGCAGTGCCAATACCGTGAGGCTGTACATTCAATGTTTTGAAGCTGTCATTCAGATTTCCTTCGATGTAGCTCAGGCAGAATTCTAATGTGATTTTATCTTAAAGCATTCTCATACTGAGTACAACAAAGGCATAAATGAACTGCTGTTAAATGTAGTTTGTGGTGTAATGTTTTTTCCATACTGAATAACTCTGAAGTAAACTATGTGGTGAAAAGTACACTTATATTTACATATTTACATACATATTAATATGTCATTTTTTTAGCTGTTTGATTTTAAACTAGTGGCATAGTGGCATCACAAGTTTATTTTTATGAATGGGTTAAAAAATTGGTTATATCAGTCTTTCTGGAGCTGTGGCCTGGGACTGGTGTGTCAAAGATTAGGTGACTACAGGACTCCAGGAATATTAACGGAATTTTGTTTGTATTATGGAGGTTTACAACAGGAGAGATAAAACAATGAAAAGCATCACCTTGCTTTTGGATTTGGAATAATCAAATGATTTATTTTAACATGGAAACTGGAAAACTTTTGGGTCATTTGAAGGAGGTCTGACTGGAGTCAGATGCAAGTATAATATCTTTGAGAAAAAGGAGGTTGTTCAGAGCAGCTAAGGAAATAACTAATCTCAGTGAAAGAGTAGTTTGTGAAATTTCCAGACCAGGAATGTTCAGTTGGAGCCCTGCAGATTATTAAGAGAGAGAGAAAGTCTAAGTTGTCAGTGTGTGAACTTCAAGACAAAGGTTTCACAGTTCACAGGGCAGGAACTGAGGAGAAACAATGAAGTGCAACTTACAGATTTAAGAGGGTACAAATTTCTCTGGATTTTGATTAACTGTAAAGTCACAATTGGGGTTAGATGGGATTTTGATTTGACATGTGTTTTGAAATCTTTAAAACGTGTTTTATATTTAGATAACCTGGTTTTGTTTATTTTATTTTTATTTCGTTCATACACTAAATTTTTGCTTAAATGTTGGAAAGAAATGTATAGGCTTTGTGTGCTTATGATCAATGAAAGACCACCGAGTTAAATTAAAACATATCAAAATCTGATCTATCAAGTCATATTTCATTCTGGGACCAGACCTGTCCAGTAGTAACAGCTGCTGGGATCATAAAAACTAGGTAAGCCATATCTAGAGCACAGCATATAGGTTAGGTCACCACATTACAGAATGGCCACCATTGCACTAAGAGGAGGACACAAAAGAGATTTGTGAATATGTTGCCAGTTATGAGAAAGGACTGGACAAGTTGGAGGCTGTTTCCTTTGTAACAGGGGAGGCTGAAGGGAGATTTCATGTGGCTTATCACATTATGAAGGGGCTAGATATAGTGGACAAAGAAACCTGATTTCTCTCAGTGAAGATGTCAAAACTTTGTGGAGGGTGGGGGGGAGGAGGGGGTATAAATTATAAATAATTGTCAGAAGGAGTTGAGAGAAGATATTTTTTCACTCAGACGATAGTGGGCATCTGGAACACACAGCCTGAAAGAGCAATACAAGGAGAAACCCTCACTACATTTTAAAAGCACCTGTACTTGTGTTGAAATGCTATATTCGAAAGGGCTACGGACTAAGAGCTGAAAAATAGGATTAAGCTGCATAAACCTTTTTTCACTGGTTCAGACACAATGCGCTAAAAAGCCTCCTTCAGTGCCATAAGTATTCTCAGTTTCCATGTTTCTTCTCGTTGATGCAGCAATGTCTATGGGAGAGGCTTGCAGTTACTCCTGACTAAAGTACCAATTTATGTTGCAAGACTGTTGTTTAACATCAAGAAGAAAAGATATAAATGTCCTTACTTCTACCCCCAGCCCATATGCTCGTTGAGCATTTTACTGGGTCCTGCTGTTGGTGTGGCAGAACTGCTCCTGCTCCAGATGTTTTCTTTTACTTTTTAGAAGAATACAAGAGGCAGAAGTGGAGACATTTTTTTGGGGGAGGGGTGCTACAGTGGAGGATATGAGACTAATCAGGACAGCAGTGAAATAGTCACGTCTGGAGCTAAAAATAGAGTTTGAGCAGCAGATCATAGAATCCCTACAGTGTGGAAACAGGCCCTTTGGCCCAACAAGTCCACACCGAACCTCAAAGCATCCCACCCAGACCTACCCTGCTATAACCTGCCTAATCTACACATCCCTGAACACTACGGGCAATTTCGCATGGCCAATCCACTTAGCATGCACATCTTTGGACTGTGGGAGGAAACCCACACAGACACGAGGAGAATGTGCAAACTCCACACAGACAGTCATCCGAGGGTGGAATCTGAACTCGGGTCCCTGGCTCTGTGAGGCAGCAGTGCTAACCACTGAGCCACCGTGCCGCCCCTGATGGTGAAGGCAAATAATGATATGGTAGTGGACGTCGGTGGTCTTTATGGTAGAGAAGCTATTGAGTCAAGAAAATTAGTTTCTGTTGAACGGAACAATTTGATTCAATTTTGACTGGGCACAGGAAATAAATTTTGGCCGAGCCAGTGACAATCAAATCACAAGTGAAAAAAACGACTTAAGAAAATAGCAGAAGAGTGGAATAAAATTCGAAGCAAGGGTGCAGAATTTGTGACAGAGGGTCAGAGGTTGGAGGGTGTGGAGATCCTTGGAGAGCTGTTGGAGAATGTGGCAACAGTCTTCGCAAAGTTAAACAGGAGGAAATTGAGATTCACCCCAGTCATCTGACGTGATCTATCAAACTGTCAGTTGTGCAAACATTAGGTAGTGGCTAACAGAATTAGGAGTTTAAGTAAGAAATGCAGCTATTTCAATCCTGACAGAGATAGTAGGAACTGCCAATGCTGGAGAATCTGAGATAACAAGGTGTAGAGCTGGATGAACACAGCAGGCCAAGCAGCATCAGAGGAGCA